CGGTCAATTAAGAACAAGTGCTTGGATATCTGATCATGTTCTCGTGCACGCACCGCTTGGCGCTCACTCTTCCCACTTCATAGAAGCGCCTGTCTTCTATTGTTCTTACCTTTTACTTGAACAGTTAGTCTGCAATTCAACAATATCATAGCAAACTCTGCCACCAATTGTCAGTAATGTGTGACAGTCACAACTGTGTCATGAAGAACGCCCTTAACGCTTGTTGCGCACCCGACTTGAGATGCCGTAACTGTGAATTCATCTCTGAGGCATCGCACAGTTTGATGGAAACGCGTAAACAGGTACCGATAGGCACTGAGTTTCAACCTATCCTTAACTCCCTCAAACGACGTCTGACAAGGAGCCTACGGATGGACCGGAAACGTTAGTGGGTCGCAAAGCGCGTGAAATGGAGAAAGTCAGCGCTATTGGGAATAGCCGAGTGCTATTCCAATTCATCCGGAACACGGGTCCGAGAAGGCCATCTGTTATTGGTACAATAGCTGATAAAGACGAATCGTTAATCCATTCTCAGCCTCGTCGATTTGCCCACCTTGCACAACATTTTGCGAGGCGGTTTAGCAGGTCTGCTGCAACACTCCTGCTTGCTGATTTACCCGAGCCGACGTATGAACTAGATGTCTCACTTCTAATTTTGGAAGGGATTCGACTTGAGCTCGCCGTGTTATAAGGAAACAAGGCTCCTGGACCCGATGACCTTCATCCATTTTTTGCTGTAAGATGGTGGTGACTCTTTGTTGACTGCACTTGCTTCTCTGTTTAACACAATGTCGACCACTGAAGTGGGGCCCTCAGACTAGCGAATAACAATTGTCACTCTCATCATCAAGCAGAGTCAGCGAACTTTGTACGAAAATCATCATTAGCCTTCTTTCCATTGCCTCATAAGTTCTCACGGGTGTCATTCTTCGACCACTTCCTGGACCCCGTGAGGTCCGAATCACTGAAAGGCAGGCTGGTTTCCGCCCAGAGCGTAGTTGCCTCGACCACATATTTACTCTTCGCCAAGTTTTAGCGCAGGGATAACCGACTATGGTGGTTTTCCTTGAGTTGAACACCGCCTTCGAATCTGTTGACCGCGCCAGCTTGTGGCACTGCCTATCCATAAAGGGCGCGCCATCTAAATTCCTTTCCATTCTGAAGTCCTTCTACTGTGATTCCCGAGGCCGTGTAAAGGGCTACTAAAAACTCTCCGAATTGCCCCACGACAGCTGGGTTTCTCCAGGGATGTCCCATATCTCCTTTCCTCTTTCACTTTGTGATGAAAATGATCATGAGTGACTTGATTCTTTCAGACCATTCTGGAGTGCAAATTCTGTCAGGCAACCGACTGACAAACCTGGAGTATGCGGATCACATTTCTTTTCTTGGGTCGGACGCAGTGGCAACGCAAAAACTACTAGGAAAACTGACGCTGGGCACTGCACTGTTTGGCATTTACATTGTACCTTCAAAGTGCAAAGTGCTGTTGCAGGACTGGGCAAACACCCGATTTTAGCTGTTTCCAAACAGCCACTGGAAGTGGTGAGTAGGTTCATGTACCTTGGTAGCTGTGTCACCTCTGGTGGTCACATCACTGAGGAAGTTACTTCGCGTTCCAACAAGTCACGTGTGGCTTTCCAGAAGCTCACCCATCTATGGTGACGTCGGGATATCAGCTTGTCAGTGAAAGCTGGGTTGTATAACGCTGCGATAAGGGCACTGTTGCTTTATGGATCAGAAACCTGCCTAGTTTGCCGTGAAAATATAAACGCTTGGCCGTTTTTGACCATGGGTGTTTGCGGAGTATTGCTCCCGTTAGGTGGGAACACCGGCTAAGATCGGACACCTGGTCTTTGACAGGAAGTCTTCTGGTGCCTCACACCATTGTTTGATAAATCCTAATCGCTTTCGTTGGCTGAGCCATGTCCTTCGTTTGCCCATTGATCGGCTTCCGCCGCGTGCGTTATACGCCGTGGCCGCACCAACTTAAGCGAAACCGCATGGTGGCCAACCCATGACGTGGCATCGAAACCTAAAGAAATTGAATAAGATACTTGGTCAGGCTGGTGCATGCTGTCTTCCTGGATGGGGGCTTTTGGAAGTTTCACGGCATTGGCTATAGACTGTATCTGACATGACACAGTCACGTAGTTCGTGGCGTTCATGCATTCGGTTTTTTACTTCTGGTTGTTAATTTTAGTCCTATTCTGATTAGTCTACCACGTTTCCTTATTGATCTAATTTCCTACACATTCTATTTCACCCGACCTCACTATCCTACCGGTGTATTTTATTATTAATCCTACAGTGTGACTCATGGCAACTGGATCCACAGCAGTTCGGTGCTCGAATCATAGTTGATCTACTGAACTGAACTGATTTCGTTGTTCATTTGATCACTGAGCTTGTTAGTTTTGTTGCAAACGTTTTACCACCCATAGCCTTTTGCTTAATGGCTTACACGCAAAACAACGGAGCTATTTCAGTGAATCACCCTCTGACAGCTAGTGACGGTATTCCTGGTACATAGGTCTTTTCTTCGATCGGTTGCATAACAATGGTCCACCACGATGGCATCTAGTTGCAGGACTATAATGCACCTCCTTGGTCAAACAAAGGCAGGGGCTTTATTTAGTGGTGATTCACTTTCGCTACGTCGCAGTGTTGGTGAGCACACAATTCTGGATATTTGTCGGGATAGTGCGTTTCATGCGCATATCTAACCGGTTCTGCAATTGAATCTTTCGTTAGAATGTGCCGTCTCATCACCACCTAGCTGGCACTGCGAAGGACAAACATGTATCACCGCGACGGATTTTATACTATCTCTTTCGCGTTGCATATTTTCACTCGGGTCGGGCTCCTACACCTTTCTCTTTTCCTCGTCTCATTCCAGGCTGAATCCTATGTGTCTAAGATTTTGAGGCAGTGGTTACAGGATGATGCTCGACACACTGGTGAATCTCCCTCAATTGATTGGTTACCCTTACCTCCACCCGTACCTCGTCCGGTTCGCAAATTCACGCCAGCTGTAGCGTCTGGTCTCTTGGGGTTAATTCGCTGTCCAACCTTCGTTCGTCTACTGCGCGCTTTGCTGGACGTTGCTCTGGATCATGGAACAAGCGCGATTTGGTGGTCTGATACTCTTCTCGACTTGGTGCTTCATCTCATTCAGGTCGCATTGTACGAGGATGAATTGGAGCACAGGTATGCTCGCGTTTTCTTTTACAGTGTGCTTTGTCTTTTCATTCCAATTCAATTATCTAACTGTGATCCAGTTGTCACCACTCCCGTCGCCAAAATAAAAGTGTGTTAACATGGGAAGAAAATACAGTGAACGCAAGAATAATGCAACAAATATATAGTCGATAAAGAAATGTGTTGACTAATCAAGATAAATGAATATTAACAACTAGTTGCATGCAACCGAATGCGGGAACAACACTGAGTACGCGACTGTGTCATATTCGAGAGGGTCTATAGACGTTGGTGTGGACAATCCCGGGACCCCCATTCAGGAGGATCGTACGCGACATGGCCAAGTCTCTCTAGTTATTTTTGTATGTACTCCACGTCATCGACTGTCTTGCGGATTCGTCCAACTCTGTGAAGCAACAGCGATCGGTACACACCGAGATGTGCAGGATGTACCACTCCAATGAGACATCGGATGAATTCTCTCTAAACAGCGAACGGTGAACCTTTCTATTGCCTCATGGATGTTTCCAACAGATTCCAGTGGTGATCACACGCTTAATGTTAAAAGTGTGAACTGAGCAAGCTTCTGATCCATATGGTAACACCGGCCTTATCGCAGTGTCATGCACACTACACTTTACTGACAAGCTGAGATCCCGCCGTCTCCGTAACTAGTCGAGCCCTTAGCAAGCCACACGGGCCTTGCTGATACGTGAAGTAACTTCCTCAGTTACGTGACTCCCAGAGGTAAGTGAATCAATTCACCACTTATATAAGTTGTTCGCAAGTCGGCAACTCCTATGATGTGTTGGTCCAGTCCTGCAGTAATATCTTGCACTTTGAAGGCGCAAACTAGTTGTAGAAGCGTGCAGCGCTACGCACCAGTCTGTTTGGCAGTTTTCACACACCCATTGTGTCAAACCCATGCAGAACTACGTCGACGCATTACCTAAGGTTTCCAGATCCATCACCTAGCAGAACCACTCTAGAAGAGTCCGAAAACCGGAGTTATTTATGAGCATTTCGATCAAAATGATGAAGATGAAAGGAGATATAGGACAATCATGGCGAACCTCGCTTGTTGTTTAGAACTCAGAACTTAGACCCTTACCCGGTTTCGGTTGTCACGGTAGATATACTTCAGGATGGAAAGGAGTTTAGCTGGCACGCCCTTCATGGATAAGGAGTGCTACAAGCTGGCGCGATCAACATAGTTTAAGGCGGCTTTCCAGTCAACGGAAACTACTATGGTCGGTCATTTGTTGATATGTCTCTGGAGATTAAGTATGCGGTCGATGCAACTACGACCAAAGCAGAAACCAGCAATGTTTTCAATGATTCGACCCCCCTAGGTCGAGTAAAGCGTCGAAGAGGGTTACCTGTGCAAGTTTTGAGGTAATGGAAACAAGCCTAATCTCTCGATGATTTTTGCACAAAGTATGCTTACTCCTTTTGAGGACTTGCTTGACAGTTGATAATCACCATTTTGAATCACCTTTTGAATGTCCCAATTCGTGTGGAATGGAGCAGCAATTCCAGTCAGCAAAGAGTCACCCTCACCTTTCAACACAGATGCAGGAACCTCGTCGGTTCTAGGTGCCGTGTTTCGTTTCAGTGCCGCAAACTCACGTCTAATCTCTTCTATACTGGGTGTGACATCTACTTCCCACATCGGTCCAAGTGATTGGGCAAACGGCAGTTTCGCAGCAGGATTGCGGAACTGCCCTTCAAAATGTTCCGCCCAACGTGCAAGTCGACGGCGCTGAGAATGGATCAACTGTCCGTTTTCTCAGCTATTGTCTCACTTACTGGTAGTTTTTTCGGACCTATGTTCCGGGTGAGCCGGAATAGCCCTCGTCTGTTCTCTTTAACAAAGGTTTTCTCTATCTCACCTGACTTGTCGTCCACCAACTTTCCCTATTGATTCCATGACTCATTGTCAGCCGTCTTTTCAAGGCGTTACGAACACGCTGCAATTCACTGCCCATTTGAACCTATTTCCAAGCTTTGTTTAAAATGCTTGATGCCATACACGTCTCGGTTGACATTCGGCACCGTCTTCGTGACACACAGGAGTTGTTCCAAAAAGCGTTCTGCTCATCCATCTGATTCATCACTGACAGTGCGTGAGTCAGTTCGTCATGTTGTCGAACTGCGAACTGCGTGTTCAAGTTAAAAGTGATAGGTTTATAAGTTGGGCGCCTCTTTGAAGAGAAAAGTACAACCACCAAGCGGGTACACCTGAATTCAGTACTCAACGGAACCTGCTTGAGTGCTCCGATAAAACCGTTCGATGTCTCAGAGGTCCATACACAATTCGGACCTTTCAAACTGGACGTACAGCATTGGCCAAAAGAATTCTTTATGGCATCCTATGGACGATTCCAGTAAATATTCAGCTCACCAACCTCATTCATCACTGACAATGGGTGGGTTAGTTTGTCATGATATTGCTGAAATGCAGACTTCGAGTTCATATTTGGTGTTAGACGCTTTTTTGTAGGTGTAGTAAGCATCAGACATGTGCGCACTAAAGTTGATCGTAATCCAAATTGACCGACAGTCTTGGAGTGATGTGCGCCATCTGTAGCTGATGGCTGCGTGGTCAATTTGGGTCCAGTCATTGAGGAATTCGGTGGGTGCCAGGTGGTGCGATGTGAACCTTTGAGCTGGAGAATAGTTCTGCTAATATGAAGTGTGATCGGCGCACAGTTGCAGGAAACGATCACCATTGTCTGTTCGGCTTGCGTGATTTCCGAAGCGGCATCCTAGGTGTTGTTCAGATTCCGAGTAACATTTAAGATGTCAGCATTTTTCGCGGGCCCATGCCCTAAGGATCACAAGTCTGCCTTGTAATCTATGGGCGCGGATTCTAGCAGGCTTAGCAACCGGGCGATCCTCACGGTATCCTTAGCTACCTTGCGATTGGTGGCGGTTGCGCGAAGCGGTACTACGTACCGGCGTATTGCCGATTCCTATTTTTCACCATACGGAGATGAATGCTGATGATAGAAATCGCTTTCGACACCCTCCGTACTGCAATTAGCCGGAATCAATAAACGACTCGCCTTTAGACGGTGCTTATCAAGCGCAACAGAGGTTCGAATTTGAACCACATACATGCAGCTGTTCAGTGTTATCCAGTCGAATAATTCTTCTTCAGCATGTTTTCTGAGGGCGATACCAACACCGTATACCCCTTGAGCTATTGACTTAATGTTGTCAGATACACGAAGAATGTGGTCATTGTAAGCAGATTCGGAACCAGGGAGTCAAAGACTCGTCACCACGCTGTTCTATGCGTGCTTCGGAGACACAGCACACATAAATATCAAGAGTGTGAAGAGTGGGGCTCAGTGTTGTCTGTCGATTTCAGCAGGAGTTCTTACCTTAAACAAACCAATTTTAGTAAGACTCTTGGTTCCATGGACATGTATGGATTGCAGCTGTTGCGATTTCGGTGACGACATCTTGCTCAATAGACGGAGAAGGTAATCCATTGAGGAGATGAAAACAGGAAGATGAAGGTGAAGAAGTAGTGGAGGGAGTATTGTCGACGGGGTAGAGAGGGCAGATGATACTTTCCGGCTGTCCATTCCGAGAGAGTTTTGTTCGAGGTGCCCTACATCTATCCTTTGATTCAATAGCCTGTTCCAAGCATTTTAGCTCGGGCGTTTGAATACATAGACCCATTGCGATCTGCTTGAGGTCTGTCACACTCCGCCTTCTATGGTTTTCCCGATTAAAAGTTTTTCGATGAACCAGATTGTGCGACTGACTTAGTTTTACTTTTAAACTTTGTCGTGTCTGGTATGATTGGCTCTGAAAGCACCTGGAAGTTTACAGTCGTCGTGGCTCAATGTGTCAAGGAGGTAATCAAAACCATCGCAACACGTTCAGTTCTAATCTCGTCGCGATGAACTCTGAAGACACAGCACTGCGCGTCACTCCATTCATTAGTGCTGGAAGTGCAACCGGGTTCGACCCAAGCAGAGCTATGGCGTCCCCATTACCTGGTGAATGTTCCATTCTGGAATATCTGCAAGAAAGGAGTCCTTTATGATCATCTCGGCTACGAAGTGAACGAGAAAAATAGCTATATGGCAACGCTGAAAAACCACACTTGTCGTGCGGTGCTCAAGAGACCGTTTCCCGTAGACCCTTACCATGCCTCGGTAATCAAGGTAGCATCGTAGAATGGAGATTATTTACCGTGTAATGATCTTCACGGGCAGCTAGTGTCACAAACTGACATAATCAACAGAGTCCAATATAGCTTTCATGTCACCGAAGATTACCAAAGACGGTTGTCTGTTTGTTTCTGCTCCAGCACTTGACAAAGAGTAAATATATAGTCGATGCAACCACGTCCTGGGCGGATGCTATTTTGGCTTTCGATGATTTGGCTCTCACGAGGACGAGTCTTTCTTCGATGTATGGTACCCGTGAGAGGTTTAGTGACGGTGTACGTAAGGCGAGTTCCTCGGTGATATTCGCACAAAGTCCGCTGGCTCCTTTTGCGTATGGAAACCATATTTGATAGTTGCCTCATCGGAAGGCACCATATCAGTGTCCCAGGTGTTGAATAAAGCCATAATTTCACTAAACGAAGGATCACCTGCGTCTTTCAGCAGAGATAAAGGAAGGTCGTCTGATCCTTTAACCTTGTTTCCTTTTAGTGTAATGATTTCATGACATCAGTTACCCTTTGGGGGTTCTGGTGAATTAGGGTGCAACGTTATAGTGATATTCCTGCTTAACTGCTCCACAGAAGGTTTTGCCTAACAGGGTATTTGACTACAATCGCTTACCCTTTCGGAAACTGCTAGAAAGTGAGCTCCTTTTATGGATAAAGGCGCACTTCACCAGTTTCCGTTAGACTCTCCTTGTTGAGTGATATCACAACGTTCGGTGAGACGCAGTGTTTGGAAAAGGTAAATCGCTCTAGGAAGCTGGCTACAACCTCTACTGCATTGGAAATGCCATTAAGGCAATGAACATGGTGTCGATCTTGCAGTATCCGGCCACTTGAATGACCCCCTAAGAGAAGAGCTTACTGGCATCAAACGAAAGTTGATATCACTTTGTCTTAGATGGGAACAATGTGTCGTGATCACACAAGTCATTAGTTTCACTCTGCTGCTCTTCACAATGCACTCCGCGCAGAGGTGCGGTCGAGCGCTGATGCCTGAAGATATCAGCGTGCAACGGGCGTAGTGCCACAATGGATTTGTGTAACAGCCTGTTCCACCAAGAGGTAATCAGAAAACACGACTGTGTATTAAGTAATTTATTCATGGAAACGGTACGTAACAACTGTACACTAAGCGGAGTGCATGGCAATATGCGTTGAGCCACTCGGACGCTAGGCCAAACTCACCACTTAGCTGCTATGGCAGGCGGACCAGTAGAAGAAGCAATACGCGTACAACAACCCACATCAAGTGCCCCGCAACTGCTTAATGCTGCTTCCCTCTGTGGTTTGAGTCATCTGACCTGCAAACCATCGACCGGTCGACGTTGGTGACTAGAGCGACGTAGTGACGTTTGTGGTGGTGGTTCATAGTCAGCCACGCGTGGATCAATCACCGCTAAAGTTCTCACTTCTGGCCCTCTACTTGTTTCCTGGGTCTACGGTCACGATCACGCATGTTTATTTTCCAGTCACCCGCGACTACTCTGCAGTCTATTCTTTTACCTGTGAACCGCCGGATACTATACCTTGTCCGCCAACACATCGGCTTCACACCCAAACCTCTAAGGTGCTGTCGATTAACGTCTAGCTGACAATCAACCCCGATTGTCCAATATTTTCCTAAGATTACCAGCTGCCATTTTTATGCTTTCCTCGTTAAAAACTAGGTGCTTGTCGCTTCATTGAGGGTCACTGAGAGCAGATCGTTACAATGCTAATTTTGATTTCGAGACGTCAGGTATACATGACGCGATTACATTTTAGTTGCAATTTGATTTAATGTTGGTATTACGACACTAGTCTGCTACATCGTTCGTTGAATTCTGATTACATAGCATTTCAATAGACTAACTGTTTCCTCATTCGGATACTTGTTTCGCTTCTCTTTTGACATTTATCTTTTATTATTTACACCGTTTCCGTTCATTTCTCTCACTTCTTGTGGGTTACTTCAGATCAAGAAGTCATACTCTTTTACTTCACTAATTCTTGTGTTCGTGGTTCGGTTTCGCTCTTTCATCTGCACGCTGCAATTATTCGAATGATCAAATTTTCAATTTTTATTTTGAGCTAATTTCTTGCTTAGTTACATACCCACCTTCCATCTTTCATTCACTCCAGTGTGTCAGGTTCGCTCCCTTTTCTGGACACTGTTGCCCAAGTGCCCTTACAGCGTGAATCTAAGCAGGACTTGGAGAATTTGGCTCGTCGACAGAATTGGCTGGAGCCTCCACCGACAGCTGAGCATCCTTTGGAGTATGCATCCCAGTACGTTTGAGCGCATTTCCATTTGATTTCCGTCTTCTTATACGCGGCACAAAAGGGACTTTTCCATCCAATTTTCACGAATTGTTACCGTTTACATAATCTCGTTCACGGTCAAGTGAATCTCGTCGCCTTGTCCATTACTTACCCGTCTAGGGTTCCCCTGTATCTAAACTTCAACGGTGCCTGTACGATTTCGTGTCTTCTATCCACTGTCATTCTGAGTCGCGCCGGTTACAACTTTAACGATATTAGTATCGTGTTCTACACAATTTTACCTCTGGTCCTCTGAATTGGAGGATGGAATTACGCTGCTATCCATTCGATCGAAAATAATCCATTTCATGGACTTCCATTATTTCCTTCCTGCGTCTCATCTTGATCTTTAAACATAAGGTTTTTGTTGGGGGCATTCATCGTTTTTAGCGCTGCTCAACTTCCATCAATTCTTTAAAGTTAACTAATCTGAAATAGATCAACAAGCTGCACAAACACACGCGCTACGGATGCCCTACACAATCGATGTGTGCCGTCTAATCGAACTTAAAAATTCAATTCATCTCGTATGCTTACCGAACTAAATGCGCTCATCATCCGTGTAATACTGATCCAATAGCCAGAGCTCATATTGGGCCGAGCATTATGTTGAATTCCAGAGCTGAGTGGGTAGACTGTGTATATTCATTTAAAGAACTCTTTGTTAAAGCTGTTGAAAGAAATCGCTGCTGCTGAGTCACAGTGACTATACTAATGGGGACTATGAAGGTGGCGAAGGAAACCTTTCCAGTCAAGATGTCGTGGACTTTGGCAATATCTCACGGCTAGAAACTGTTGGCTATCATGCTAACCTACAGTGGCATTTGCTGTACATCTCCATTGCAGTTTTCACCGACTCACATCATAACCATAGTATTACCCATCGTCAGTCACAATTCGCCCAAATCCGTAATCGACATCAGAAGCATCACTGGTACCCGGTGCTTGTCATGTCCCCCGTACATACCTATTTGGAAGTCTAGATGGACCGACAGCGTGTTCATATCTTCCTGCCATCCAATCGATTACCAACCACTAGGCTTGCTCTACCCAAGGATATTTGAACAAAGCAGGATCTTCTCTGGTAACTGGTAATTACTAATTGGTGATTACTCATACGTCGCACTTTCCCCACGTACGCAACTCATTTCTCGTCCCCGACGCAGCCAAACCCAAGAGAGAAGATAAGCCTTCATCGGAATACTTTCGCTAGCTCGTAAAAGGTCGAATGCAAAGCCGGCGAAATTAATGAAACTTCGCACCAAACATTCAGTCTATACCATTTCTCAACTGATTGTATCTTTAATGCAATCGCCTTCATCCGTAGGGCAGCCGCTTTCATCCTTAACACAAAAGATGGAATTCGATAATCACGGAGATTAATTCCAGAACGCAGTGAGTAGTCAAACACCATCAGCCAATAGCATTCGGACAACGTATCAGCATGGCTGTTTAACCGAGGCTCACCTAAGGAAGGAGGTAGCTAAAATTTGCAGAACTTAAGCTAGACTCACGCAACATCCTACACACGACTAGTCAAACTCAAATCCCCGGCGCTTGAGTGCATGCCACACGCACCTCAGCCATCCGCTCGTCTATAGATACTCACCAACATTGGTCATTGAGGTGGTGGGAGCAAGTTCTATTTCACGGAACTGGTTCCAAGCCCCAAAGCTTAGGAAGGGCAGGCGAAATAAGCACAGTACTGGTATCAAGATAAAGGTATAGGCATAAGTGAACATGTCCGAAATACGGGATAACGCCCCTTGGCTTAAGCGATCCCGTTGGGAATGGACTCAAAACGACATCACAAAAAGGGCTGGAGTGAGCAAACAAGTCGTCTGTTTGAGGCGACGGGACAGGTGTAACACAGATGACCAGAGTGAACAATCTGTACTTGGTATTCCAAAATGCTCTCTGAAAGGGGCAGTTCGGTAACCTTATTCTGATGCCACCTCAGAATATTTCGACCAGACACTCTTTCCCACTTAAAGATACAGTGCAAGCTACCATTGAATCTCAGAGTCAATTTGTCAGTAACGTAAGGAAAGGAACGATATCCAGTGCAGCCGAATGTGCACCATGTGCTCAACCCAATCTCACATTGTTGACGATTCCTCACGTACGAATCACACAAGTCAAGTCTGATCAAGATGGACAGAACAGCTCCCGGGCGAAATGACATATTAATCAACTTAAGACGGGATAAGGCATCTGGTAGATGAGTTCAGAGTGGTTCCAAGCATCTGGTAGATGTTTGGTTGCAACCTTGCAAATTCCCTACAAATGAGATGTTAGACCGTCAGTTCTGTTACTTTCCTCCACATTCTACAAGTACGCACACACCGAAACAGTTAGCGCACTTGTACTATTTCACTGAAAAATGATTAGACTACAGCCAACTAGTCTCATGGGATTAGGAGTGGTTTATTGCGGATAAAAGAGCTTAGGCTTAACATGTCCCGCAGGATGGTGCGTTGGGGTTTTCAAAGTAGAGGAATAGCAACCACAGAGGACAACCGAAAACAGTGAACTTGCAAGGCAAACTTTTGTCCGTCTGAATCTTTCACCACTTTTGGTTTTCCCAGGGAGAAGGGTGTGTGTGGATACTGCTTTGTTTACTGAATGTGGTTCAGGTGTGTTATAGGATTTGGTGTAACGCGAC